GTTACCATCTCATGGATTAATATTATTCGCGGAAGGAAGAAACACAAGTTATTAAACCGGAGCTCTAACCAGGTACTTCTCTGTCACTATTTTAGCGCCTTTACCGACTGAGCCACCCAGGTACCAATCTGCGTGAGAAATTCCTTCCTCAAAGCAGTTCGAGGTTAGGGCATAGACTGCTTTTTCCCCGGGATCAAACCTGCACCTCCGGAGTTCGAAGTTGAACTTTAGATATTGCGTGCTACGTCCCATATACCATAAGGCACCATGCCATGTCTCAGGTTAATCGTTAGCCCCTCTGTACAGGGCTTAAACGAGAATGGTACTTACAGAAGGAAATACGTAAGACATTTCCTGCATTCGTTATTAATACTGGTCTGTCTTAGTCATCCATCAAAGTAGAGTAAGTCACTGTAGAGTTCGAATCACCCGGAGTCAGGGCAGCTCCATCAGCAGATTTAACATTTGTAATATTCACAATCAAAATCCCATTTGGATTTTAAGATCTCAGTCTGGCACTGCATGAAACGTCTAGGCAAATGCAATTCAACGCACTCAGAGTAAAGCGTGCATATCGGCGAAAATACGATTCATGCCCAACGCTGTATGTAAGGGATGGGGGGAAGGAAAAACAGCACTTCATAACGCATAAGAACATCATAAACCAATTGGGTAGATGGCGGCATATATCGGATCGGACGCTAGAATCGCGGCCTATGGACATACTAAGGAGAGAACCTGTTTGTAGAATACCATAAAGAATGCACGGTATTCAGAAGGAAAAGTCGATCAATGAGCAACCAGTGCACAAAATACAGTATCTGCAATATCGCAACTATTTATTGGTCAAGGAACGGCGCTTTCTAATAATCCGCATGTGAAGTTATTGTCTTACACCCATAATAGTTCTATAATCTTGAAATTTTGCAGCAATACTCAAGATACGGTTTCCGGATGATTAGCGACTGCCCTCGCTGTTAATTATAATGGTTAAATTCCCGAGTAAAGTTCAGCTGGAGGCCATAAACTTTTTCAGTCTGTCCAGTCGTCTTCCGTGCCTGACTGCGAACCCTGTTCTTGGACAAAGCCGTACGGAAAGACGAAATTCAAGCTGACATGGCGCTCCAATTTCGACGTCTTACCTGCACATACTGCTTGACAGTTGAACGGGGACTTTATGGAACACTTTAATGAAAGATCGGTGACACTGCTTTAAACCGGTTCTCCCAACAAGTGATCGAGGTTGCACGCGTTTAGACATATAAATCGCATTGCAACTTTGGAAACGATTATTTTAAACCTTGTCTTCGAAGATGACAAAGAAAGTTTTTGCATTGGATCACAGTCCAGAGAAAAAGATGGACACTTGTAAGTTTGGGTCTTTAAAATAAGTTAATTATGATTTCTGTCCATAGTTACGCATATTTTCAAATTACGCTTCTTCCTGGCCTATGTCTGTATTTTGATTTATGATATTCTTTAACGATGCTGCGGTGCAAGTTTAATCGTTGCCAACTGCTGCAGGCGTACGCCATATTATTTGGAGAGTGAATAATGGTCAAACCACGGACTCGGCAGTGCATTTACTGTAATTGAGTCAAGTGCATATTTCTAAAGCCTCTGTATTTGCAGCGAACACTTGGATAAACTCTGAACCGGTCGAAATAACGAGGCTCCAATAACTGAGGTGAACACAGCTTCTTGTACCTTTAAATGACATCACTGTACACTCGGACAAAAGCGTTAGGAAACTTCTGTTCGTAACAGGAAAAAATAGCTTTTGTGATGCCTTCTACGAGCTGAATAGACATGATGGCGCATGGCTAAGAAGAAGGAGGTGTACGGTAGCTAGAACGATGCTATACGGATAATAAGAGAAAATGGATGAAAATATTCGTCACAACTTGGATGGCAAAAATCTGAGAAATTCGAATTAATGACGTTGCCAGAATTCGACCATCATTTCGTCAACCCTCCGAACAGAACATGTTGGTTTTCATTTGTCATGCACACAATATGTCAGCTTGGGCGGTGCATGAGGAATCGTCATCTGATCACGTTTGTAAGCATAAGCAACAGTGCAAACACGTCTAACCGTCGGCCGGCATGGCCAGGTGCGCACATAACGCATACACAAAAAGAAGCGACCCATATTCAAAGGTTGAACAGCAGGTTGATGAGGCTTAACCGTGCTGTCTTTGGAGCAAATCCCAAAGCTGGTCTTCGTTCCTTTCGTCGATGATCCGGCAAAGGAGTCTTTCTGCCAAAGAGCTTTGCTTTCAAAAGGTAAGAAAAGTTGGTCTGTTTACATCGTTTCTCACCCCTCAGTGGCAAAATCTTTCTTAATGATTGAAAGACATTTACGGATTGGTATCAGCTAGTAGTAATAGCTGATAATTCCCCGTCTTTTCTTGTGACTCAATCGTTTACCTTGATCATTGCATGTCATCAGTATGCAGAACACGGTGGAAAGACATCAGAAACAGTTTTTAGCGTCAGAGACATGCACATCTGACTGCTCTGCTTCTGTGCGGTTCTAAAAAAGGTATTTCTAGAATGATTCGCTTACAACCCTTGATTTTTCTGGGTTTTCCCTTCGCTGTAGTATTACACTTCGGCGTGACGAAACTATTTTCCCCCGCATTAATATTAGAAATGAGTTTGATTGGTGGCTACCAATCATTCAGTCCGGATTTATGCTCAAGGCATCCTTCTTCTAAACTGACCTTATCTAGAAACGTACAATCATTTTGTCTTGGTAGCTGAGCATTTCAGTTTCAGGGCTAGCCTTCAAGCTTGCCGTCTTGTTTGAGATGAATATCTTAAGGTGTTCTTCCCCCTTTCACGTGATCGCTTCTTCAGTCCTTGATCATCTGCATGCCAACAATTCAATACCAACTTAAATTGCTGGTGCATGGAAGCTACCTGAATGTCAGCAATTTGATTAGAAGGTAACTGCAGTAACAAAAGTAAAATTTCATAATGAAAATTCAAGAAACACACAGAAGACAACTGCGGCGCAGAGTACTTAATCCGAAGGGCCAACTGCGGATTGTCTGCAACGTGATCCTTTACAACTAATGTGCGAAATGTTTGAAGTGCCATCCTTCTGAAACATGGCCTCGGTGGAGCAGTGCTAATAGAGTATAATTTTTCTTGAACAATGCTAGCAAAGATTATATATGTTCGGTAAACTTGAAAGCGATTGCCTATTGAGCACATGAGATTATCAATGTACTTGAGGACTCTATACCTGATTACTCATCAGTGTTGAATTTGCCGGTGACTGAAATTTCACCAAGGAGAATTGTGACACTAGAATGAGTGAAAAATGAGCGCTGTCACTTTTTCGACGTGTACTCGTATATCGTAAGAGTTCGTGGTTACTGTCAGCTTGGTCGTTACAAGCAATTTTCTAACCTGACCAGACAGCTCAGACGAAATAAGGGAAATACATATACTTTGAGTGTTTACCTCTTATTCTCTCGTTCAGTAATCTTCCATTCATATTCTCCCATTCATATCAGCGTAGTAGAAAAGACCCACAATCCTGTTTGATGTTCTGTTTGTTTTCAGATAACCGATTTTGGTG